GGTTCATCTGTGTGTGCAGTTTGCAACGTGTGTACCAGCGTGTGACTGAATGTGTGAGTTACGCACATTCAGTCACAGAGATGTTGCAAGTGTATCAGGGGATTGGGAACGCATTCCTTCCCAGTCACACATGTGGCTCATCCAGCACCTACATATTCTGCATGGAGGGTGAAACCTAAACATCTGTCGCAGTAGCACATCAAAAGTCCCCGAGCAGGGCACGTGGTCTCTGGGAGGCCCTCCCAAAAGTGCAGCGTGTCATCTGCTCTGTGTGTCTCTCACCTTCTGTCTCTCCCTACATGAATGTCTTATCGCCTCGGCGCTCCTCCCTGCGCACTCTCTCCTCCTCTCACCCTTCTTTTTTAGCAGCAGTGGAAGTGACATTTATTAATGGCGAATTTATGTGCATGACCGACCCGAAACCTGAACTGTGCCACGACCGTCCCTGGAGACTGTCCGTCAATTCCTGTAAACATCAGGGAGCGAAATACCTTTCAGGGCCCGTCAGCGCCGTATGAGACGACCTGGACTGATTTATTGGATTAGGAGCATTAACAGTTCTGCGGATTTCTGTTGGTATTGATACAGTGTAGTATCGTGATGATTACACCTGTCAGGCAGGAGGATTTATCCTGAAAGAATTCACTGTCCTGTTGTTCTCAGATGTACATGAATTAAACAGGCACACGTGGATGCTCTGATTCCTTCCAGAAATAATTAATGGAATCAACAACGAGTTCTGTGGTGAGAAAACCTAACAAACAGTCGGGCAAAACATGAATAATCATCAATATTAACAATGTAGAGGATAGTGTAGGTAGAGCCGAGACAAGTAAACACACACATACACAAACGGAACCACCTCCATCAAACTGACGGCTCTTCCTGAAGACCATTTCTGGTTTACCCACAAGAATCGGTTGTACATTTACTAATGTTTTATTCATCACTCTTTCTGGCCGAGACTACGGAATGCAGCTGTAAAGAAATGCTGGGACTTTAATTGCATAGCCCATGGGAGTTGGTCGGCATAGCGACATTAAAGCAGCAGGATGAGAATTTACAGCAATGCCTGTGATTAAGAAAATGCATATTGCACTGCGTGTGTGTGGAAATACACATTCTTCTACTCGCTTACTACATTTTCATTCATCTTATCCCAGTTTTACCCACCGCAGCGTCACACCCTGCCCCAATATCAACTGAATCCAAAGAATAACCTTAATACGACTGAATTCATGCCCTAAAACAGCCGTTTCAAGAAGTCATGACAAGCCAGAGGGACCTGCGTTTCCAAAAGAATTCCCTCACCCTAAAGGTTTGAAACTCAAATTGGTTTTCACAACGCCAGATATAACGAGAGGACAAACACACACAGCACCTAGGCTCTCAGCCACATTCAGATATGTTTCCATGGCAATGCAGACTGGGATCACATTGCATGCCCTAGCATTTGTTTGGTGCCCACTTGTGTGGTGTATGTGTTTTTTATCGCTAGTTAACATCTGAAAATAGATTCTCAGGCTTTACACGTGGGCACTGAGTGTTGAAATAACACACCGGGACACAGAACGCTGCCACCGACTGCACACAGCTGATGATAAGAGGGCAACAGCACCGTAGGATGAGTTTCCAAAAGCCTTTCGTTTGTCTGCCTCTGCTTGCAAATTTTAAGGATCTTTTTTCTTTTGTTTGGTTTCTCATAGTTAATCTTAATCTTCCTTTTTATACTCTCTTCTCAGGTCAAGCAACCAAGAAAACATATGTGAGTTACAACAACCTCAGGATCTGATCTGCTTGCAAATGAATGCAGTTTGTCCTTTATCTGTGATTGAAAAGGGGAAGGGAGCGGTAGCGGAACAGAGGAAGACAGACAGCGAAAGGAGAGAGAGCGCAGGCATCCCAGCACCTGCAGTACCTATGCACTCCAGGACTGTGGATAGCATCCAACCTTCATCCAGACATGATACATGAGTCCTGGCAGAAACTAGCACAGCTGTAGGCCAGTGTTGTTGGGCCTCCAGAACCAAACTGTAGTTTTTAAGCTTGTGTTGTTGTGGCCCCCTTCTCTCTGACAGAGAACAACTTGCCTGCTAAAAGGGGGTCACTGTGAAAGAGGACAGACGCAAAAAAAAAAAGAGAAAAAAAAGAAAAAGGACAACGATCTGCTTTCAAGATATTTTCTTTTGAAATGTCATTAAAGCCATATTCTCTTGGGGTTCCCATTATCAATTTCTGTTTTGTATTGTTTCTAAGTGGTTTTCTTCTGTGCCTCTTTTTTCCTTGGAGTTAATTTGATGACCTTGAACAGCAAGCTCTGCTACATACAGTATTTTGATTTACCAAAATCAACTCCGATCAGTCCCAGGTGATTATTATGTTAGAGTGATGGGCATTGTAAGTATATTTTTTTTGTAAATATTTGAGAGTATTTTCATGTTTGGAGTACAAAACTAGATATCCAGTCTTTGTTCAATTGGATTTGGATGGTATTGACAAGCACCACAAAGTGTTCACTTTGCATGTGCCAATGTATGTCTGTTATATTAGATGTAAACAAAAAAAAAAGAAAAAAAAAGAGTGAAATAAATTCTGAACAATGATAATGAGCTTCAGCATCATTCTGCTGTGTTTTTTCTTTACCGAGACTGAGCTGCGTTAAACCACAGAATATGGCTTTAATCTGTTGGTGACCTTCCCTCGTCCTGATCTGCAAGCATGTTTGTTTTACATCGTTTTCGTACATTAATGGGTGACATTATTAACAGAGCAACCATGCAAGTATGTTGTGATATCTGTCAAATTATGATCATGTAATAAAATCATTTTGTTATCTTTTCTACAATGAAACCTGACATCATATCACAGTTATTTCTGTGCAGTGTGAGTCCCTGTGAGTGTGTGAGGGCATGTTTACACTGGCGTATGAATAAGAACAATTAATCACTCTGTTGTTTACGGCTTTCTGTAAACCGATGCAAATGTCATGTGCTAGTTTACTGTCCCACCCTGTGACGAGGCACATTAGCGAGCTCGCTGAGCAGCGCTGTCACGCAGAGACGAGACCCCGGCGAGAGGAGGGGATGTCCACTGACCGACTCCTCCGCTCACCCTTTGCTCTTTCCGTCTCATCCCCGTTGCTTCTCCCTCTCGCTGTCGCTCCCTCCGCTTCTCGCCACCAATCCCCCACGTGAATAATATAACATGTCAGATCAATTTGTCCTGCTGATGACCGGGCCTTTACGAGCTAACCGCTCTTCATCCCCGTGCCTGCCTGCAAGCATAATGTTGGTATTTTCGACATTGATTATTATATAAAAACATGAATAGACCACTCATAGGGGGGACTCCTGTTCCTACAGCCAGTAAGTGTCTCCCTCCAGGCTGGCACATGATATATGACTGAGATGCTGATTCCTCTTTTCTGTTTGTGTGTGGGAACAAGACAGAGAGAGAGAGAGAGAGAGAAAAGGGGGGAAATAGAGGGACAGAGATCCTTACCCACACAGGTTTTCTGTTGTTTCTCTTTCCATTTGTTTGGCATCTCTCTCAGCTCCTGTGGGACCAGATGGTCTTTACTTCTCATACACACAGTCTGTCATTTTCTGCTGCACCCGGCCAAGAAAAATCCCACTTATGCCCAATTAAGACTAGCCTCTCCCCCACCAAATTAATTGGCTGTGTCAGTGTCTGTGTAAGTAATCAGCTGGGGCTGAACAGACTTTGGATTTGCAGCTCAGCAAAAAGAACAGAAATGCTAAATGGCTCGAGCAATTCCATTCTAGATCTTTATAAATAAAGAAACTTTGAAATGCAGAGAATATTAAAAAACAAGCATGGGGGGGGAGGAGGTTTTCCCCCTTCCTTGCATAGAGTGGGGTTTGGATTCCTCCAGTTTCCACCTCTCTGGGCTGCAGCGTGAGGGGCCCACCTGCTCCGTGTGCACCTGTTCTGCAGGCTGCACTTTCCTGGGAGAGTCGAGAGGGGGGAACATCAAAGGGATGAAACTAATCATGGTGGACGGAGAGGAAGGCGTGCTGCACCGGGACCCCAATGTTTCAAACTCTGACGACTGTCAGTCACAGATTGTTATGCACGTGGAACGTTTGAAGCTGAACAATAGAGTTTACGGACTTTTTAAAAAAAACATGCTTGGGGATCTGACTCTTAAAAGCTGTCTAGTTACAAAGTTGTCAAAACTGTCTGCACCGTGTATGAATTACAAGTCTGCATGACCCAATTCAGATGACAAGGTGACACCGCTGCTCTATTAAACGTACGTTTCACTTTGCGCCTCATGTGAAATGTGTAAGTGGCAGCATCAAAGTCTCTGGGTGTTTTTTTTGGTATTTTTCCTGTCTGAGTTCTCATGTCACTTCGGTCCAGCTCCGCCTTTGAGGAAAGCCTTCTTTATCTTGTCAGAACTCCTGATGCGCTCTTTCACAGACAATTTACTGATGCCGCCTCTAGATTAGCTCTGTTTCATGGCTCCTGGGCCCCAGGCTCTCCTATCTCTCCATAAATGTCCAATTATCCAACTCCAGCCAGAGTGAAACCTTATCTGCTTCCTGTCAGTGACCAACTGAGGCCTGATGTAATGTGTGCTGGATAAAGACACTCTTCACTCTTCTTACTTTTTCCCCTCAGTTGCATCTTGTACTCACAAACCTCCTTACGATGCTCTTTCTTTATCTGGTGTCTTCTCTGCATCTCTCAGGAAACCAACCTTGAGACGGTTACTGTTACAGGCACACTGACACTAGGCTTTTCATAATTAGCCGTACAATGAGACAGAGAGTGATTAGATGTGACTCAAACCATCCTCCCTCTCATAGGCCCTAATTATCACCTAGAGGAAGCTTCCATGCAAATCCAGCGAATGTATCTCCAGTGCGTTTGTTTGCTTTGTTGTTTTTTTTTGTTTGTGTGACACAAGAACCACTTCCTATTTCTCTGAGTGTATAAATGAGTCCTGGGTCACTTGGTGTCACTTCACAGAGCTGTTTCTCGCTCCTGCATGCTCAGGCTGCACCGTGTGTTTGTGTCACGGCGTTATTGCATTTTTAATCGGCGGAAGAGACCAGGCATCATTCTCATCACATTAGTGTCTCCTGGTGTTTATTCCTCCCTCTCTCTCCCCCTCCCTCCATCGCACCATCTTTTCTCCTGGGGGGGAGTTGGGTGGGTGGAGAGAATACATATGAAATTTGCTCACTTGACAGTGGTTGGAGATATGGATTCTGACAGTACACAATTAGCTCAGTCACCTCCTTTATCTCCACTCATCTTTTGGCTGGGGCATTTAGAATGTGTTGCCTCTACTATAATTACTGTTATACCTCTCTCACTGTCTCCCCCTCTTATCTCGTCCCTATTCGAGTTTCAATTCCATCTTCCCCCCAGTTAATGATTGTTTGAAAATTACATATCTGACTTCTTTGTGGATTTAATTGACTGTTGTGTTATTAAGAGGGTGGAGTGAGAAATGGAGGAGCGCTCTTCTGAATTCGCAGCCGAGTAGGTGCACTTATCTGCCTGCTTCCCCGTTTTACGCCCTGTCAGAAAAAAAAGGACTCTTGGAGAAAAGAAAGTAGAAAGTGCTGGCGTACAACCTGCGAATGTGTTGCATGTTTGTTGTGATGTGGCTGCGTGAGCCTTTAGAAGCTCATGTAAAATAAAGTAGTAGATTTTTAATGTCGTATCACAGCTCAGGTTCACAACACCAACAAAAGCCAGCAGCATTTGAACCGAGGCAGATCATCTGTAGCTTAAACAGGAGCTGACAGAGATAAGTGCTGGCTGGCTCTGGAATTTGACTAGAGAGCTAAGCCCTTTCAAGGAGCATGGAATAAACAATGCGTTTCCTCCTCCCACACAGATCACTGTTATTTCAAAGTAAAGTAAATCCCTAACAGAAACAAATTCTGAAATGGAAATGAATAGTTAGGGAGGAGTGATAGAAATCCACATCAAACAAAAATGAAGTGACTTTGAAAAACCCAAAAGGTGCAGAGAACAAATCCCATTCCTTGCTTTTTGTTTGTCTCGGAGTAGATTAGTAGAAAACAAATGACTTTACTTCGTGTCGTTCTCCTTAAAACTGATCCCAAGTCTGCCTCATTAATCCCTCACATGAATCCACCTCTAAAAGCTTAATGGTGACGGGTTTGGTTTGACTCTAGCCATTGTGCAGGACAGTGTTCAGTCAAATGATTATGAATCAATTCAAAGCGTGAATTATAGTCTTTCCTCACAAACTACATTGCTGAATATTCTGTGTCTCATTTTTCAGTTGGCGGTGGAGTGTGGAGCGCTCTCCATTTGATTAAACTCTACCCAAAGGCGGCATCAATTATGTATCTTCACAATGGAGTTAATGGACTGCAATAACAGCTGAAGATGACTGGACTAAATTTCCACATGACATGGCAGAGAAAAATCTCACTTCAGTAATGTACCCCTCCTCAACAGCTTGTCTGAAACGATAAAAGAGCGCCTCCGCTTCAGGCACGTTGAGTAAAATCACATTTTCTTTTGTTAATTCCATTGTTAATCTGTAAACACTTTCCCCTCTGACAGATCTATCTCCTGCAGGAGTTTGATATGTAACTCACGTCAGCCTGCTGTGCACGTTGTAAATGTACCCGCATGTGCGCTGAATGCATATATGTGTGTGTGTGTGTGTGTGTGTGTCTGTCTCAGCTCAGCTTGCGACCCATCTAGCTTGTGATCCCACTTCTATGATTCTGGTCTCTGGGGTTTCAATCCCATGAGTGGACCCTCGCTGAGAGCAGAAGGGGCTCGCCAAGCCCCAGATAGAGTCACTGACCCATCTGGCCGTCGGGCCAGCAGGGAGCACGCAGGACGCAGAGACCAAAGCCCTGCACAAGCATCCTGTGCTAACACGAGACTGGCAGATCACACAATGCCTGCAAGGGAGAGAAACGCTGTACAGTGAGCGCATACTGAGCAACCTCGTGTTTTATTTTCAGATCTTGTGTGTTGCCTGAACTGCGAGTAATGTCTGAGGAAAGAGTTTCCAGATCACCACAGACCACAGAGAGGTATATGCTGCACGGTGCGTGAAGTGACAGTGATCCCGCTGCTGCGTTGTGTATAATTTAGAAGAAAAACAACATGTTGATTCAGCTGTGATCTCTGTGCGTCGGGCGGCGGTTGCTTTTAGACGTTACAGAGCAGGGGGCTCGAACCTGACCTCAGAGCTGCTGCTTCCTCTCTGCACTCAAATGCACAGCCATGTAAATGTTTCTAATAACCTCTCATGTGGCGAGTGTCTGCCGCCGCCGCCGCTGGTGCCTGCAGCGAGCCTCGGCTTCTAATGCTGCTCACACCATTAACGCCGGTGCATGCAGCCAGTACAAGGCAGCATCTGTCATGTTTTCTCCCCTAGTTGGATATGACCCCCCCCCCCCTTTTCGCTGCAGCCCTTTTTTCTACGCCTCTGAAAATCCACATGAAAACGGGCCTCCTTCCTTGACTGGAGACAGGGATTTCCATCCCCAGCTCGGGAATGGATCCAATTTATGAGATAAGAAGGCAAATGCAATTAGTCTACACTCTCTAAATCTGTGACTGAATGATGACAGCTATTCTAACTTATCTCACTTTTCAATTCGGCAGTGTGACTCATGGAGAGTCCACACATTTTATTATTAACAGGAATTAACACTTGCACGCTGAAGACCGGTAATAAACTGCAGACGTATGTTTTGATTCACATTTAGGTTGTGAACTGAAACAACAGTATCTCACGATGGGATCTTGTGGTTCACACACGCAGCATCTGAAGAATGATCGTGGCTGTATTTTGTTTACCACAGCTCAAGGCTACTTGTTCTTTGTCTATAAAAGATATGATCTCATGTAAAGGTTATTAATCAGCAGCTATGCCTCCGTGTGATGCTACTGCCATCTACTGATGCTGCAGTGATGTCTGTCTCCCTCTGTTTCTGCCCCATCGTGCCTCAGAGTCACGCTTTTCTCACTGTCTGTCTCAAAACGTAAGATCCGCACGACCACCACCGCAGGAAGACAAAATGTGCTTCTGAACAGACTTCCTGTTCAGCGCTCGGGGGCAAACAAGCTCATTGTGTCTGCATTGACAAAGCATCAGATGAACTTGCTTTATTCTTTCACAAGATGGAGCTGCAGTCATTGTCGGTGGAGGGAAGAGCTGCAGCCGAAGAGTTCAGTAACAAACATTTCCATCATAATCGTTTAAATTGCTGCATTTCTAACCTGAAATCTCTTGAGTTTGACCAGTGTTTCGATTTATTGTTAAAATGGAGGCCGGGTTTTGAGATGAGGGGAAAAACACCAAAACCTTTCCACCTCCATTTCCAGAACAGCAAACACTTGCTCCAAAAGATCCTGTTTTCTTATTATACAATCATACAAACTCAAAACTCCACCTTCTTTTGACTGTTTTAAACAAAAACACAGAAGGACACTCAGTGGGAAGCATATCTCCGCCAAGGCCCAGCAGTCCCCTTGTGAAACCAGAGCCACACTAAAAATGAAAATGATTCTAACTGGAGTTATTCCCCCGCCCCTCCACAAAATATCAGTTGTGTACTTTTTTCAGAATCCTGCTGACAAACAAACAAAATGGGTGAAAAAAACATAACCTTGACATAAAAATCCACATTGACAGTCAAATGAAAAACAAGCCGCATTTTTACACAAAGCATCAAATCAGTTCAGAATGAAACTCACTTCACACACTTTTAACAACATATTACGCTTGAAAAACACGACCTAATGTGATCGCGATCCTGAGTTCATGCTTTATCTAAAAACCAAATCATCTTATCTCACTTTAGGAAAAGGAAGAGAGACAGTTGACATTTCCTGAGACGCTGCTCTGAAACATCTTTCTTTTCCCACCTTCACAAAATGTCTGAACTCAACTGATTTCCCTTCTATTCAGTTTCCTTTTTGGGGGCAAACATCAGGTAATTATCCAGTTTATCCCTCAACACGAACAAATGATCCAAAGGTTTTGTAAGCAGCTTATTCTCACCAGTGAAGGAGAGATACAACAGAAAAATCAATGAGACTGAGAATGACGTCAGCGGGAGACATTGGGTGAAATCTGCAGTTGTCGTCATCACTTGTGTAAAACATATTTTCTCCCGTGTCATGGCTGAGTGAAACAAACTCAGCTGCTGTTTTAAAGAGCTGATAATGTCATTTTGAATTATAGACAGCATCTCCTGAAACACTAGGTTTTTATAACGATGGTGAATCAGTTGGCTTTGTGTTGAGAAGCTTTTCAAGATGGTCAGTGTCCCTTCATCATGTGTTTTTCCACTTATTAACTGTTTGCTTTATGTTTCATGGAGTTAAAAACAGTCACAAACATGTTTTTGGACATTTATGTGTTTGATTCTGTTAATATGAAACATTTTCACTCTACATGACTTCACACAAAAAGTCAAACTGTCACAGGATCAACATGCTACATATCAGGATAAATGAAACTGACCCTTCCTGTTTATTAAGTTAATCAGTTCATCTCTGTATAGATGACCTACAGTTGTACTGTGTCTGTAATGGCACATTCTTTATGATGAAATACAGAATCTGAAACATGATGAAAGATATACAGCCTTTGTTTCTGTGACAATCATGGTTTATCTTCACGGTGTCCGTTTATCATTGTGCTTTCTGCTTATTGGGAAACAAAGTGCCACATTTCCTGGCTTTGGGCATCTAATGAAGTCTATTAGTGCGTGGTTCATATTGCGTGGAGCTGCCCACCATCACACAGCAGATCACCTTACCGCCCCCTCCAGATCTGTGCTGCACACGAGGACTGATTAGTTTTTCATTTCTGAATCAAGAAAAAAAGGTTTGTGTCAATGAAACTGAGAAGTGGACGTAATTAACCTCCTGTTAGCACCGAGAGCTCGGCCTGGCGTGGCCACGGGCCTAATTACAGTCGGTTACGACCCCACGATCTTAAAACACACTTAGAAAACACTGGTTTGGATAAGTGCTCTGCCAGAAATAACACCGATACAGCAGGAGCTGCATAAACACCGACTCTCTGAAGCACTTTCATACAATTATTCATATATAAGAATTAATTCTTCTGTACTTTTGAACTACCATCATCCCACTCCAGTGGGTTTGTGTGCGGCTATGTGAGCGACCACAACAGGAGGTTTTCCAACACAGTGCAATAGACACATCAACAACTTATAGGTCACTTCCTCCTATAGGTTTTCATGAGGTTATACATTTTTCATCACATGCATTAACATTAATTCCCTGTACATTATTTATGAGTGCACACAGGAGGTTGATGAAGAAAGAGACTGGCAGGGCATGAAATAGCCTCGGCTCCACATCTTGATACACCCACATTAGCCCTCCTACTGGCTGCTGCTATCGATTAGCTCCAGTCCATTTGTAGATTCAAACTACTCAACTGCTGCTGTAGCGCTCAGATGATCCTTCAAGGAGTATTAATAGAAAGCAAAGCCTCGAGTGCAGAAGAGATGCTTTGAGAGAATTACAGTAGGTTGTGTACTTGTTTCAAGTCCTGATGTACAACCTGGAGTTCATCGATCCAGTGAGGCATTAAAGCACGCCATTAAAATCACAGGTGGACTCGGTGCATTTCAACAACTTCAGGTTTGTCAATATACTTTCATATGTGTTTCAAGTTTGCAATAGGTCACTTAAACAACTCCAGCATTTGTCGTCACAAGTGTTCTTGATTCTGTTCTCTATACCAACCTCAGCTCCTGCTCTCAGTTGCAATATCAAAGGATGCGACTCCTGTCCCTCAGTGACCAGCAACTCCCCATCAAATCCGTCACGTGCCGAAGGATCAAAAACATCCAGCATCTGCATATTCAGAGGCTCAGCGTCACACAGAGCGTCAGAGGTCATTATTCCTGCAGCTGTACGTCTCCATCCTGGGAGACATTAAGATTTGTGCAGGGACAGCAACCTGAGCATTGACAGATAGATGAATATAAATCCTGTTTAATGAAGAGAAAATGACTTGTCCAAACATTATTTCAACCTTCCATCTCTACTTAACATTAGTTCTGCCATCAAATATTATTTTCATTATCAGATAATCTGCTGATTATGGAGCCAATTGATCCAAAAAAGTTAAATTTTTTGTGCTGTTTTATAAGGTGCTTCGTGAAGTTATTATTATTATAAAGAGGTGTTCAATTTACTGAGTCAATTAGCAGAACAGCTTCAAAAGGACTAACGGAATTAGTTGTTTCTAAACCTATATATTAATTAGACTTATTGTTGAAGCTCCATTAAAATTGTGATATTACAGCTGGATAATCTAGATGTAAATTTATGCCTCTTTGAACAATGTTCTGCTTCTAAAACTTACTGTGGGAGACTTAGTGATTATATTGTGATGTAATGTTCGGATTGTTTTTTTTGTACTGAACACCATATCAATTCAAATAAGAAATTATGTTTAACAAGGGATGAAAAAGCCAAATTTCACTTTGTGCATCTAAGCACAGAATAAGTTGTGTTTAATAACGATGTGTGTTTGAGGGAAGCAGAGCTACAAGTCCAGTGTTAGTAATATCTCCTGTAAATGAGTCAGTCGCCCACACTTAGATGATTGTTGCCTAATTGATAAATGACTCTTTTACTCAAATTGCAACACAACCTCATAATTACCAATTATGTGGAGTGATAAATTGGACTGGTAAGACTGGGCAAATGAGATCAGGATAAAACGTAATTATAGCACAGTCATTAAAAAGTAGTTTTTCACTCACTGCAGTAACTTCATCATACATATATACAGCCGCTGTGGAAACATGATTGGTTTGAGCTTTTTTCCGGAGCTTAAAATAAGAGATGTTTTTCCCTTTCTGGAAGATCAGTCAGGATACCACCAGTGATTTTTTGTTTCTTTTGGATGGTGCAAAGGGAGAATATTTACCACACTGATTAATTCCTAAAACATTTCACTGTAGTGTTCAGTGTACATTACTGACAGAAGCTTTCACAGCAGTTGAGGGATTTGTTTTGACAACAATGTCTCATTTTGCAATTTGCTCTGAAAATGTTCATTTGTCTGCAATGAGACGACTAATGAAAGTTTCGACCTCTCCAGAGTAAGCCATCAAAACACAAGCTCTGAGCTGAAGGATTTTAAGAGCAGCTATTAGTCACCGTTATTGATATTTCTCTGGCCAAAATAAAAACATGCCCACCTGAATGCCACAGAAAGGGAGCGCTTCTCTTAAAATATCACAGTGTCTTGCAAGGGCAGCCTGCTGTGTCTTTGCTTTATTACAACAAAGACTGTGAAGCTCATGTAATAGCCAAAAACCAGCCGACCATCAGAGCCAAATGGGGCTTAAGACCATGTCAAGACTATATTTTCAAGCAAGACTACAAAAATGTCACAGGTCTTTTGCTATGATTCACTGCTTTAGAGGTGCAGATGAAAGATAAATCCAGAAAGCAAAGAGTGGCAGGAATTTTAAAAAAGCCCATTACTACTTTGAGTCTGCTGCCGGCCATGAAAACATATAGACCTTACTGTATTCTGAATACTTACCTGATGTGTTGCGTTTATTTGCCCTTTTTAAATACAACAAAGTAAATCCACTGGCTCAAACAAAAATGAACTGTACACCATCTTTGAGGCTTTACAAATAGTATTACATTTTATTAATATATTTTCATAAAACAAGTTTAAGACTGTATCAAAAACTCAGTAAAAACATTAGATCTTTAACCATTTTTCTTATGGTGATATCAGATATGAAATGTACATAATTCACATATTGTTGTAGTTTCTTTGTTGCCCATCATATTGAGATAATGCATTATTTTTTTTGTGATGGGTAAGTAAACGTTCTTTTTGTACCTTCACAAACTATAAAGTCTTTTTCATGATTGTGATCATAAATCTAGACATACAATTAAAAAATAAAATAATTTCCCACGCTGGCCCCCCGCCCCCCCCCAGACTAGGTTTACTGATAAAACACTAACATTATGGAGTTGTTTAATTTCACAGGCACACAATTATGTACATCCCCACGTCCCCATGCCTCATCTGAGCCGACAACAGGGAGAGCACTCAACACCTAGAGGCAGAGCAGTGTTATTACAGTACTCTATAAGCCACCCCCCCCCCCCCCCCCCCCCACAGAACCAATTCAATATAAGACATTGGATCCACCTCATTGACTATGTTGACAACACTCAGATCACTGTGGACCACAGAATTCCATTCGCCCGTTCATTATTGTTGGTTAACCCTAAAAGGTTTGCCTTGTGACCGCAGACATCACCTTGGCAACAGCAACACCAGTCATCTCACAAGCAGATTCAGTAGCACAAACATTGAGGAGGGGGGACAAAAAAAAAAAAAAAAAAAGAGTTATTTGTTTTGTAACTTAATTAGGCTACATCCCCAACAGGCATGATCCGTGTAATGTCCTTTGTGATCAATTACCAGAGGAATCTCAGTCATGTGGCGAATTCAAGGATACAAAAAAGATATTTTCTTCTCTTTATTGGACTACCACTTAGTGTGTTCAATTCTGTGCAAGACACATAGTGCAAGGTTTAACAAGAATTTGCATAAGTGCAAGGTTTGCATGTTATTATCGAGAGGGAGCAAAGCATAAAACGGAAAGATCAAGAAGAAGAAACCAACTGATTCTTGTGTAAATTAAGTGTTTCATGCTTTCAGTTTGGCTTTTTGTATTTCATTCCCCTCTAGAAATAACAGGTGCAAAATCTTAGTAAACCTAGCTGAAGGACAGATAGAGTGATATAGAACTCATAAAGAATAACATTGTGAGGGAGAGCCTCGAGTCTGTTGTCATGGTGACATCTGCTCAAAGGCCCCATGGGCTTCAGTCTTTCCTGCTTCTTCATTATTTTCTATACAATAGAAATAGTACGTCATTGAAGATAAAACTGACTCTTCTTGGCAAAAAACAGACAAAAAAAGAATATGCAAGTAGTCAAAGCAGATTTGAAGGACAACAAAAAAAAAGAGCTGGCAATTACAAACTGTTCCCATCCATTTGCCCTGTGCCAGTAGTAGAATTGAGAGATAGTGTTTTATCCATGATGGTCAAATATATGGGTGTTTGCCTGCTCCTCTACAAAGTCAAAGCCATTTCATTGAACATTAAAATTACTCCTGCAGTAGTTTTCAACACGCATCCTTACAGTGCACCTGCTTTCCAAACTGAAAGCTCCACTGTGCGTTAGGGAGGCACATAAGGAGGTGGTGACCTGTACGATGTCATGTTCTTAGGGCGAGAGCCTTTTCCCTCTATGGGGACAGTAAATGGTGGTGGGGGCTGGTAAGGAGGGGCATTAGGGTCATCATCTTGATAAACAGAATACTCCTCTAGCAGATCCTGGTTAAGCAGGGTACAGTGGGGGCTAGCCATGTTAGGGTACTCTGGAGGGGGAAGGGGGGGCTTTTCCTCCTGAAGGATAAGGGGGATGCTGGAAGACGGGGGTGACTTGGAATCATCTAGCTCATCTGCAAATATGATAGGGACTCCTTTCTTGATGAAAGTGGCCTGCTCCTCTATGGTCATCTTCCCTTTGCGCTTCTTCCGATAGCAGACCATAGCAATGATCCCGGCGATGAGCAGTAGGGCTGCTACCACTACAGCTGGAATAACAGTGTGTAGGTAAACATCATCACTGCTCCTACGACCTGTCCCAGGTGAAGGGGAAGCTGTAGGAAGGACAGGCATTGGCACCTCTCCTGGTGGGATGAATGTGTAGCTCTGGCATTTATTCGTACCACGAATGGAAATGTTGATGGGTTTGAAGTCGGGTTCCATGGCTTTGATGAAGGCCAGTTTAGGTGTACCTTGGGGATCCGAGATCCTGTTGCTCAAAACTGTAATCTGGTCCTTTGGACAAGGACTCTGCTGCAGACTGTTATTGGTCCATTCAACCACAATGGAGCCCCTTGTGATGCTCCTCAGGGTCACTGTGCTGCTATTGCGATCACCAAGGGCATAGGCCAACTTTCTGGTCAAAAGAATCTTCTTATGAACATCATTGCTTAAAGTTTTGGGGTCACCGTGAAAACGAGCAGCAAACACAACTGATGGTTTGTCATTACTGGACCATCGGTTGACTTGTACCTCGAAAGCATCCATGATGCTCCTCCCACCCTTATCAGTAGCCAACATAAAGTACTCATGTTTCCCCTCATGCTGCTCTTCTGGAAGGCCATACAAAAGTTGAATAGTGCTGTTGAATTGGATCCAAGATGTTTCACTCACTGCTTCTTTTGGAGTTTTCTTTAAAGTCAAACGCAGCTTATCAGTGGTACCATCCTCCTTGTCAAAGAATGTATCGGGAGGAATCTTAACCTCAAAGTAAGTGCCAACCCATGCATTCACCTGATCAATGGCATTGCGGATCTCCGGGGTTTGATTCAAGTCTGGAGCCAAAGAGAGAGGAGTGGTGCGTTTGGGTGGTTTAGCTGTGGTAGACTTGGGTTCCTGGAGAGCTGGAGTGGAAGATTTAATTTTCTTGGGTTTCCTTGTGGAAGAGGGTTTGGGTTTTTTGGTGGTGCTTGGTGGTGTTGGCACAGCAGTGGCCCCTACAAATGTAGGCCGTGTCATGGTTGGCTGGATAGGGATGGTGCTTGTAGTTCCTAGTACTCTCGTAGGTTGGGGGGGCCCAAAGATAGGTGTGTGGGCAATCTGGTCCCTGACCCTCATGGTAGGCTTCACTGGAAGCGGCAAAGGGCCTCGGACAGGCGGAGCTGAGATGTCTGTTGCTGGGGCAATAGAGGGCGAAGTCGGGGTGGGAACAACACGAATAGGGGGCTCTGGGTGGGTAGTTGGAGGAAGCAGGGAGGGCACTGGTGTTGGAGTATTGTTCAATTGCCGTCTGACCCTTTTCACTCCATGGGGCTTTTTGTTCACAATGTGCCAGCCAACCACTGGGTACCCCAGTCTGGCTGACATGGTCCCATCCTTTGCTGAGGATTGAACACTGCTAATATCAGGGATTCTGCCCTGGTCAAGGGCGCATCCAAGTTTCCATGACAGTAGAGCCCCATTCTCCACCACCTTCTTAGCATTCCCTGGTCCAGCCATGAAAGCAGACATGTCAAATAAGCGGTTGTTAACAACAGGGACCACCCTCATGTGTTCGAGGGGCACGTGTGAGAATTTTCTCATGATGCGCAGTAAGTTGGCCCTCTGTTCAGCAACCATCTTTGTCAAATCAGCATCCAAGATGACAGTGAGGACAGTGACAGGTTCCTCAGAGCCACAGGTGAAAGGCTGGAGGCCACTGATGTCAGACTGTAGCGTAAGCAGGGCTGGTTCGGTGTCTGCTCTTTCTTCTGGGTACACTTCAACAGAGAAGACTGTGCTGGGAAACACCTGGCTGCCATTCTTCTCAGTTATTTCTTCTCCAGACACCAAGATATGATACACACCTTTATCCTGCTCCAGGGCCAAACCTCTCAGGATGCAGCTTTCTTTGTCCCAATATAACCAAGTGGGTAAAGTCTCCTTTCCCGTTTCAGTGAGCTACAAGAGGAAAAACCATATCATTAATACCTTTTTACACTATAGAGAAACCTCTGAGATAAAACTTAAGTACGGAAAGGCAAAACTCATTACTAACTTTAAGTGATGATCATATCAGAAAATGCACATAAAAAGTTCCCAAGACCCAAGTAATGACTGAAAATTGCTTACTCAGTCAGACTAGGAGCTTAACTTTTATTATCATTTATGAGAGAAGAAATCTTTGAAGTATAAACTGGGAGATGTTTGGTTTTATTTGATGCACAACTAAAACAGTGAATCCATGATCAAACGTAATTCTGTATTCAGTTCTCAGTTTCATATAACCAAGTTGGCAGTTGAACAGCAACTACAAAAATCCCACAGATGAATGTTAAACATTTAAAATTAGTAGAGCAAAAGCAGAAACGCTTTCACTACCTCTACAACCTCTAACCCCTCCCAGTCCCATTCAGTTTATCAAATCGTGCCAAATGTGAACAGGAAGCAGAGTGAGCTGCTATTCATAATAACCACTATGTGAGTCATCACTCTTTATTTTGAGTTATTACTGTATGACAGGATATCATTCTCCATCACCACTTGGGCCAATAATAATCTCATCTCATTCAAAAGTCTGACTGGAACAAATTGCACCACAGGCAGCTTCAACCAGCAGTTATACACTGATCAAATCTGACTGAAGGAACACAGACAGTATATCATGTATTTCTACAATGACAAAACATTTTGGCAACATGGGGACATAAATCTGCAATCACAAATTTAATAGTGAATTTAAGTTCAAATAAACTGGCCACATCTTTCATGATATAATTTAGTATAGCTTAGGCCAAAATAAAGTGTTATTCAATTAAAATTAAACTCTGTACAGAATTGTCTTACACCTACTGGACCAAAAACAGCGTTTAGTCATTTTATTTAGCATCAACACCCAAAGAGGAATACATTTGAGTTTGTTTTGAATGAAATCTGTGAACCTTGTTTTTGATTCAAACAAATAAGAGTAAAAATCTGTCTATCAATGCAACAACAAAATCATTCTACACCACATTCATATTTTTAGTCTCTTTTCATTAACACAAATGCTCCTCTAATTCACTGATTCATTGTGATCTCATTAAATCAATGTTGAGATGTTTACATGCAAATATTAAATTATAAATTCCACAAAATCTCCCACAGAAGATCAACAATGGATGAATATCGACAGTTTCAAATCTTTAGTGTACTTACATGGACATTGCAGCTTGCATTGGCAGACCTGGTTGGAACCTTCAACTGGAACACCTGGCCCACGATTGCAGAGGAGTCGGGTATGCCAGTGTGCACTCCCCCATTCTTTGGAGAGGATTCTGGGATAGCTGGAGGTGGCCCTTCACCAATAGATGATGAAGCAGCCTGGAGCTCAGCGAGCACAGAGGACTGCATGGAAGCCTCTAACTCCACAGGTATCATCTCCACCACTGTCTCTCGCTGTTCTGGCACAGCGCCCTGGGCCATGGCCACTAGAAGCCCTAGTACCAGAGGGATAGTCCTGCATGAAGGAAGCCCGCTCCTCCCAGCATCCCCTCGGCTCATGTCTCTCCTCTTAAAGTGCATAGCAATAGGCCTTTTGGCTGCCCAACAGATGTCTGTGAACAACTGAGGCCACATGCACTGAGTCAGTCTGGTGATATACTGATGAGTCAGATTCGCTAGTTATTGGCTAAGCTCACAGATGTATTTTTCTTCTTTGTTGTCCTTGGTGATCCATGAATTTATCTTCGGCAGCCAGTTAGACAGCCATATCAGCCAGCTACGTGAGGAAAAAAAAAACAAATGTCAGTGTGCCAAAAGAAAAAAACATCAGTGGAATGCAAACATGATTACACAGTAAACTTTCTGCTCATAATAATTCATACCCTGCTCTCAACAGATCTCCCCACCACAACACTATTAGTGAATGTTGATTCTTAGAACTTCATATTGTGTGTTCAACACACCGGTTTAAATGATTTATTAATATACTACACACACCTTCAGTAATGACACGAATTAACAATGATTTATAAGTCATCTCAATCTCTGATATTCATGTCCGAAATTAAAATTTACGGCTCATTACAGGGACAACTCCACAGAGTGTCTATTATACATGAAGTAATGAATGAGTCAACAGCAGAGTGGTCGGAGTATTTGTCTTCCCATGACAAGTTTTAACTGAAGCGATATTTGGAATGTTAGGGTGGACAAAAAAAAATACATTCCAAAAGTACTGAAATAAAATATTACCAAACAGGGATTGTTTGTGCCACTAGCATTAAAAATGTTGTTTTATTATTTAGATTAAACACATGAAATTAAATGTAACATATCAATGTTTCTTAAATAACAGATTCTCCTAATGATACAGTATTCACTTATCTGTCATTGTATTTTGAGTAATAGTCTTCTCATGAGATGTATGAGTGTCAAAGGTTGTTTGTCTTGGTTGTAAGTTTTAATTAAATGCCCTGAGGGTTGGAACCAGAGTTTCCATTTTGCTGACCCAGCCAACCCCAATCCCGTAGCACTCACAAAAGGGGCAGAGGGGGGTCAGCCAGTGGCCTGAAACCCTAAAGCCTGACTGGCACATGGCTTCTTAGGTCTGTGCCGGGTTAGTAGTAGGTCCATCCCTATGATTCATGAAATGATCAAGAAATGACCAGTAAAATACGGCTGCACTGCAACGAGACATTCATCCAGCAGGACAACAAACCATTTGTGTATTTATCCTAACAGGCAGTAAAAGACACTCAGTCTCATAGTTTGAGTATAATCTATAACATTTAATAAGCGTAATAAACGTCAGTGATTCTAAATCATTTAGTTCAATCCTCTCACTCACCCAGTAAGACAATTACATACATTTTGCCCAAACCTGAATTACATTAAAAGAACGTACTATTCCAATAAAACTATCACTGCTGATCTGATATATTACATTCACACATTTTACTTAAATTTGTTCCTACTGGAAATAAATCATGTATCTGGCAAACGGGGACATAATCATCACATTGTTTCTGTTCACTTTTAGTTCCGAGTTAGCTCTTTCTATCTTAGCCATTTCTAAACACCTTTACAAAACACTTAAAAAGACTTTTGAGCAATTCATGTATTCTAACAGTGCCCTATTAAACACATGAGTGCCTGTATTTACCCTGCTGAATGGGGCAGAAAGATTTTCAATAGAAAACACTGTTGCAGGTGGTGCGATCAGATCTGTGGGAACAGGCTGCAAATCCTTTGGATAGAGGTCTACACAGACTCTGAGCATTGGTGTCATACAACTTTGAATTGTGTAGTTGCAATTATCTCTTTTCTGACATATTAATTATCAGCCTTTTGTTAACCTGCCACAAAATCTTACCATTAGCTTCTATTTTTGCTTTAATTTGAGCCGAGTCCATTTCCTTTACTCCCCTTTTCTTTATTATTCAACTGTAAGGAGCTCACATCACATCTCATTGCTATTGACACAGACCAACCCACTGCTTCTGCATTTAAAAATGTATGATTCATCACTGGACAAAAACCTGTAAAGATAGCATAAGCAGTAACTGTGTACTATATATTTGCTGGGAACATCTATTCTGTCAGATTGTCTACTTTTGGTGACTAATAAAAACATGTAGGCTATTATAAGCAGGACAAAAGAACTCTAACTATATTGTGAAATCCTGTCCTCAGTGGAAATGATGGTGATGAATATCTACTGTGGGTATATACTGTCTACAGAAGTGGACTGTTATGACTAGACTGGCAGCTGGGAAAACTAAAACATACAATCAATTCACATCCTCAGGGATCCTGTAGCCTCCACAATCATTTCTCTAGTTTGAGAGGCTGGATGATTGTCTCAAACATAATATGTACACGACCCAGAAAAATCAGTGACAATCATGTATAGAAACTAGTGAGTCATGTCTCAACCAGGTTGAGACATGCACCTTATCCGTGATCTTTATCTACTGAGTCACTTAGAAGGATTTACTTACACCCCATGACCTTCTCCCCAGTCCACCTCCTCCTGACTCTGAAAATCTCCAAAAGATAAAAAAAAAAAACACACACTAGAATGTCACTTAGTAAAGCACATACCTCCACCAAGGCCCAAAGGCCCCTTCATGAAACGGCATTTACATCTACCCAATCCATATTTTTATTTGGATTCAGCCTAATCACACAAAGTTAACTCATAGGTAATAGTGCCTTAAATATGGCTGATTCTTCTCATCAAGTTCCATTAATTATTCCCTTGGAAATCCATGACAAAAAAAGAAATCTCTCGCAATGTCTAAGAAAGTGATAAAAAAAAAGAAAACTGGATCCTTTCCCTTACAATTAATACTAACCAAAATTGTATGGGTTCTTTCTTGACCCATGTCTCATCCTTCCAACAAGTTACGTGGTAATCCGTACTACAGACAAACAAACGCAGATGAAAACATAACCTCCTTGACAGACATTAGTTGTACAATATACTGTCCCAGATATTATTGCGATAAATGATATTGTCCTCATCATCTTGACACCATTTTATACCACTGATATAATTAGTACCTTTCAATGAGAAATAAACATTTGTGTTGAGTGTAAACGTATTGCTTGATTCAGCCATCCTTTGGTGTTCATATGTAAAATACAAAAATTAACATGAAAATAGATTTTGCCCATAAGCTTAATTTAATAAAGATTTGAGCACTACACTTCACCTCGGGCTGTTGCCACGCAAGGAAAAAAAAAGAAAAACATCTGAGCATCAAAGTAATCTCTTCACAATGTGGCCTAGATTTTATCAGGTTCTAATTTAAAAGTGTGAGTAATTCAGAATTCAATTCAAACAGCTCATTAGGAAATATGAAGTGTTTTAATATGCTGACTTGCAGTGTCTCAACGCGCAGTTCTAATGAGCAACTAAACAATATTAAAATTAAACGTGCACAATAAGTTGTAACTGAGATGGGTAAACCTTAGTAACAAAGATGTGTGGTTTGAGGAAATAAAATCTAACTGAAAAATGCTCCACAAAATTAGAAATCAAGCTGTGCTGCCTTTAGTTTAGTGATTGACCTTGAGAAGCTTGAGCAAAACTTGATTGTTTTAGGTGTGTGATTCTATAAATCCATGGTTCAGTTCAGACATTGATCTTTCACTAAAGGTTTGATTCAAACAGTTCATTCAGTGAAGTTAGGGTATCATTTCATTATCCTGTCTAGTAATACGATCACGGCTTTGGTCCCTGTTTCAGAAATGTAAGACCCTGTAAAATTATCTGTGAACACACCCTAATTTAACACATTCACATGGGTCATACAGGGAGTAATTGTGCCTCATTGTTATCATCTTGATAATTTCTTTAGAACATAATTGGGCCCAAATCTATATGGCTAGAATATAAAAAATATATATATAGTTTCAAAAGCCTCAGTATCAAGGTTCATATAAAGATTTTCCTTCTGGGGACATGAGTATAATAAGATGTGTTCATTTCCAACTGTGTATACTTTTAACACTTTAAAAACCTCACCGTTTCTATGACTGGCCATTTTTGTACTCATAACATTGTACTTTTTGTAATAGTACAATGAAACTGCCTTGAGTGGTGGTGATTTCTGCCCATTACGCGCTGATGTCTGTTCTACTAGAGGGACAAAACCATTTACAACCACAGTATCCATGTTTTCTGCAATTCAACTGTAGTTAAAACTTGAAAACCATCAAAAATAATTAGGACACCGATGCACAGTGGCACTCAGGGCCGATTGAATTGACGTACCACATCCAGCAGCCTCTGGATAGTGCATGAGCTGAATAACAAACATATCCACAAGACAAGCTTGCTTTGCAATTGGATGTTTCCCTTGTGTTGCCCCCGCCACTGTTCAGCAAAGTGATGAAACATGTGGGGGGGGGGAACACAAAATGGGCCTTGGCCGAGTTAAAGTGTAACGTAGCGTGATGACCAGAGAGCAAACTCGTTTAGCCACCACCATGTGCTGTCAAAACCCAGTGTGGAAGTCAACTAATCATTTCTGTGTGTTTTCATGAATCCAGAAGCAAAAGTACAGTTTCAAGCACAAAACAAAGGCGCAGATAAATATCTGTTCTGCTGAGCTTCTCACCAACTTGTGAGGAAATTAGCAGCTGATCAGATGATCGTCTCGCTTCATGTAAACTGAATCAGTTCCTGCTGCTAACAAACAGGTCATTTGTGGCCACGCATGTTCCAGCTCGTTACACAAGGTTAAAATAAACCTACTGGAACTACTGCAACGTCAAACACGTTGGGGAATCCAGGCTAATATTAGGTTAGGCTAAATCAACCCTGCACGATGAAACATAACCAATCATGTGTTTTAAGTAAAATAGATCCCAAATCGGTGTGATTGAAGAAAACACAGAGATTGCAGTTATAATCAAATTTTTCAGGGTTTACAGATATTATGTCCCAGTGGCCAGTTAGTTCCGCAGCTAGCATTAGCAAACTGAAAAAAAAAAACCTTAGCTACCGGGCCCCGCTTCACTTGCCCCCGTTTCTGCTGGACTCGGTAGACGAGGCCCTTGGAAGTGATAACACCACCTACAGCGTTCCACCTTGATAAATCACCCAGCTGTCCACGCTGGTAAACCTGTCTTAATGGTGGACGTGTCCCCCAAAGACTGCGCACAAACAGCAGCCTTGTTAAGTGGCTGCGTTAAGTGTTTGTCCTGCGTCTGTGTGGTTAGCGCAGAGGTGCACCTGTTTTATTCTAGGCGGAAACCAAAACCACTTTCAAAACACTGCGGCTAACGTTAGCCGAGGCAGGCTACACCCGCGGGTGCCGTCGCTTCCTTCCGAAGCCGTAACCTCCGCACGGCAGCGGTTAACGTGAGTCAGCTCCAACCGCTGCCCAAACGTGGAGCATCAAAGAGGGTCGAGAAAAAAAAAACCCGGACCGAGCCGCAGTAGCCACCGAGCGGGGCTAACCGACGAGCTAACGTGCTAAGAGTGAGCGCCGATGACAAATATAGCTGCTGTACCTGTCCTGTGTGGATCGTGTGGAATTATGAGCGGAGTTAGCGAAGGTGACGTGGGTGCAATGTTTAATAGGAGAGCGACAGAAGCCACAATTCAAACTGACCTTGTTGTGGAGCTAACGTTAGCTAACTCGCGCCGTAATGTCTCCTCTTGTGCCCGGGGAGCGCCGCGGAGACTTTTCCAAACGCCATTAAACCAGCGCTTTCCCCGCACCGCCGCAGAGAGATGAGCAGCGTCTGAGAGCCGCGGCGAAGGAGGGGATTTATTCCTAAGGTTTGGTGAATCACAGCAGCAGGTCCACCGCTGTGTGTACTGTAATTATGTCGGCAGCTACCCCTCCCTGCCCCGGCTGCCTCTGTCCTCCTCACCGACAGGTCCACAAGTTGAGCCCGGTCATGTGAGACTCCGCCTCCCGTTGATTTGGAGACATGCAGGTGAAAAGATAAAACTGGTGATTTCACTGACAAGAACTGTTCGAAGCTTTTAATACAGCAGCACACCTCACTCTAACCACTGGACAGGCTTTCAACCAACTTAGATTGAGGTTTAGTCTTCATCTGAGTGATCTGGAGGCCAGCAATCATCATGATCACAGCAACTTAAAGGTTCAGTGTGTAGAATTTAGTGACATCTAGAGGTGAAGTTGCATGTTGCAGCTGGATACTCCTCATCACACCCTCCCCTTCCCAACACCAAGGAGAACCTGTGGTGAACTTCAGTTGTCATAAAAACTCTAAAGGTTTTAGTTTGTCCAGTTCGGACGACAGTAAAAACCATGGCAGCCTCCATAGAGGGGACCCCCCCCCCCCCCCCCCTGTAAATATTAAGTTTTTAAGTTCTATGGTAAAGAAAACAACAATTAGCACAATTTAGATTAAACACACCAGTGAAAACATCACACATTATTTTATATTCAATTTCTGCCAAAAATCCCTTTCACCTACATCTTGCACACTGAACCTTTGAGCACTTGGACAATACAATGTCATTTAAACTCAAAGACAGCACATGGTGTACTACGAATATGTGTTGGAAAAAGGACAAAAGAAACATAAGTAATAGTTTAAACAAGGTAAAGGCTGGAGTACACGCTACAGATTAAACACATTTTGTCTGGATGTCTAAGAACACTTAACACCATTCAATAACAGTGTGTGGCCCTTGCAAGCGTATGCATTTACGATGTTGAAGTCGTTGCCATGATTTATTCGTTTTCATGCTGTAAAAATGAAACAGAATATTTCTATAAATGTTGTGACTGTGGGAAAGTCGCTGTGGGCATGTTTGTTTTATTCGGGACACTCTGTTGTTCCTTTATTCATATTAAGAGGACAAAACCAACATCTTGACAATAGAATAGACAGAGAAATGCATATTATTTCATATCCTCGTTTCCTCCCTCTGCGATATTGCATGGCAACTATCAGCCAACAGAAATGGCCTGGACCTTCACGGCTTTATCTTCTGCCATTACAGATTACTTATGGTTGTATTTTTTCCATAATACAGTGAGCATTAAATGAAACGTAAATCCATTCATTATTTGTAAAATGCAGCGCAAAGATTTACTGTCACAGATATAATCATGACTTATCACATTTGACAAGTTAAAGCTGGTAGTTGTTTCTTAAGTGCCAGGCTTTCTCAAAGGACAGTTTAATAAAAATTCATTGTATTTCATTTAAATGTCAGGTTTTTTTTTTATTGAGCCCTTCATCGTAAGCATATCTGGAAGGACTTTAGAGAGAATGAGCCTACAGATAATAAAAAGCACAGAATGAAATGATGCAGCAAAGGGAATTGTACACAGCAAAGGATGCAAAGTGATGCATTTTAAAGACATAAATGAGGTGAAGTAATGCTATCATTTAAATGTTTCTCAATGATAAAGTTTAAAACGCCAATGTCCTGCCTTTGGTGTTCTTTTACATAGAGTACTGAAAATGAAATACTGATCTGTACCTCATAAGGTCTACAGTAATAGCTATAGATTGTATATGTGTGTAAAAGTTGTATGTTAATGTTTTCTAAAGTCACACTGTTGAGTGGACACTTTTCACAGTCTAAAGGTTATATTTGTCCAAAGAGCCGCATTGAAATGATTAACGACACAAAAGACTTATTCTCTGTTTGTACAGGTGAAAAATTCTGTCAGCATTTGCACTAGTTCTTGAAATATCTCTGTACCGCCCTATATCTACATTTAAGATTCTTTGTCAATGCAAAGGTCCTCCCTGGATTTTAGCATCGATATTTATGTCATGGTGAAAACCAAACTATGGAGGAAACAACAACAGATGAGGTCGTCGCTGAGCTGCTTGGTGTCTCTCTTTAATCTTGAATATCTGTAAAGTGCCTTAAGATCATTTGTGTAATTATTTAGCGTATTTGAATTGAAAATCAAGATATTGTGGGATTCGATCGATGAGGTGTGTAGTGTAGTTTAGAACAGAGGGATTATCATACCACCATGTTGCACAGTTTCCAAAAATGTGGCATGCATCAGTGCATTCAGTGAAACACTTGACTGCTGAGTGAAGGCATCTGAGATAATAGTCACAAGATACAAGCATGTGGTTGTTTAAAAGTTCAAGGGTTCAAACACCAAAGGATGAAGAGCTGTCAGATCAAGTCAAGTTAGACAATGTCCAATCCATGTTTTTCATATATTAACTCTTTACAATTTTTCCAAAAAAGATTTTATTTACCACTGTTGCTGTCTGTTGCTGTCTGTTGCTGTCTGTTACTTCAGTTATTGTTGCTGCAGTCCTGGAGAAGTCAGTATTGGTTTGTGGCTCTGTGGGCCGGACATTTAAACCACTTCTTGCTCTCCAGTATTCTGCACTGCAGAGGATTTTTTTGAAATTTTTTCTTTTTCACCTTGAACACTTCCTACCTTCCTCTTTTAAAGTGGAACAGATACACATAAAGAAGCACCCGTTTCATTGTTGAAATTTCTTTGAGCTTGTATGAATGACGGGTTATATTAGCCTGTATTAGTATGGGTCTAAATAGGCCAAGAGCTCTATTGGGAACAATACTTGAAAGAGCAGGAAAAAGTATAAGAAAGAGGAACATCTCCTCGACTGACAGTTGAAGAAGCAGCACAGAAAAAAAAACTTAGCATGAAACAGCAATCACAGATTGCATTATACTGTCAAATAAAGCTGCCAAATAAAACAGAGGAAATGGCTGTTCTGATTAGCTGTCTTTTACCCCGCTGACAATATTTGCGGGAAATATGTAGTGCCATCTATGTGATGCTATCATCATACATTAACATAAACTGTACACTGTATGAATATCTCGGAGCGAAAATGAACTTGATGTTCATGGCAACAAAGAAAGGGCCGTCATATAATAATAAAACCCTTGGCAAGCATGATTAGGATTTTAAGATAGAGAAACAGAGTCTGTCTCTAACAGTTCATGGACCTGTCAATCATCAGAATCTCTCTGACTGGTTCACCCCTGCAAGGCAACGGTAAGAAAAAAGCATGTGCACTCAGTGACTGCATGTAGACATTTAGAGAATAGATTGTATGATGAGTAATAAAGTAATGGTCTATTCAAAGCAAACCCTTGCATGTGTTGAAATTCCGTAAGAATTTTCTGAACATAAAATAATCATGAGGTAAAATGAATTTATTATCTCATATTGATGTTCAATAGATTCATTAAAAAAAAATCCTGATTTAATTTACACATTATATAGCACATGTAGAGTAATGAGAATCTTTTTCATGATTACATTGTGCCTCCTAATTGTCTCTAAATCTAAAGAATACATCATCAGAACAGACACTTGTAAATTATATCAATGTCTGCTGAGAAGAATACACACATTTCCCCACAGTTGCTGTTCTCTCATCCTGTTGTTTACCCTCGAGGCATATTATGGATGAGGGACTTCCATTGAAATGCATCACCTAGCTCTCATTTCGTCAAAAAGACACATACACAAAAACACCTGCAGCTTTACTAGACCATGATAACCCCGCTGCAGAGGGGCTTTCATGTGATTGCACATATCAATCTGACTCTTGATGTGTGAGCACAGGGCGAGAAAGAGAGCGGATTAGGAATCAGCTGACTCTCCACATTTTCTTCCAAGTGACTTATTAGAGGGGTTATTCTGAGCAGACTGTTGGACCACTGAGGGGTTTGGCTGAGTAGCGACACCCTGAATGGAGCCAATCTCCTCTCTCACAACGCTATATTACTTTAGACAGCCCTTCTCGGATTTACTCAGTAACAAACGGAAAGACCCTTTTCTGCTTTTATATACGCTGGGCTCACAGATCTCTCTTTTTCAACACAATTCTTTTCACGGTCATAATTTAAAATATCTGCCCTATAATAGCTTTATTTGTTCCTGTTGTGGAAAGAGAGTTGGCTACAGGTATTTTGCAGGAGCATTCAATCATGATCAACATTATCACACTTTGAAGAGTGTTTCATCCACACACGATTTACCATATTTTAGTTAGGTTTTGTTTTTGGTCTGCAGTGGGTGTCTGCTTGATAATCGAACAGGAAGAGTGAGTATTTCCTTCAGGCACAGTACCTATAGACCAGAGTGCTGCTCTTGTTTGTTCCTGCCCCCATGGTTCTCTTTTCTCACAGCTCAGCCAAATAAGGTTTTCCAAGAGGTTCCATTATCACTTGAACATGTTGACGCTGAAATTGATTGTTGGCAAGCCGCTGCTCTCTGAAGACACACTCCTTATGTTTAAAGAAAAAGTAATGATTTACCAAATATAACGTCTTATTGAAATGCCATTTGGGACTTGTAGTTTCATCTTGTCTTATTTAGATGTACGTATCTCACTGTAATTTAATCCTGTCGGAGGCTTGATGAGGCAATTTAGCTGATAATTCACAAATTGCACTACATAATTAATCCACCATCGGAGGGCCCAAAGGCAATTACAGTGGATTCTTCATTAGCATTTCTGTACGTCCGACCAGTGGCAGATCAGGCTACTCCATTACATAGTAAACACACAACTCTCAATGAGGCCACATGATAAATGAAAGTCTGAGGGAAAAGCCCCTAATGGCTTTTGTTATGGGGTTAATAGTTTTGTTATCAGAGAAACAGTCCTAATGACTCTGAAACACATCAAGAGGACATCAGCAAATACAGAGATCAGCAAATGGCGTGGCCACAGAATGACCCCAGTGAGAAGCAGAAATCAAATCAAATCTCAGATGGGTGATTAGCACTCCATTGTAGCCCCTAAATGTGGACGGCAGCACTTCAGCAATCACCTGAAATAACTTTAACCCAATCCAACTTTGTCGCAACATGATTGCACTTTTCTAAATAGGACTCCAAATACTCTCTTGCACATTACAACTATAACCAACGGTTGAGAAACTGTAGTAATCAGTCTAATGGCTTTGACTCACAATCACT